GCTGGCCAGGAGCCCGGGTACCAGAGGCTGGTCCTGGCCTGGCTTCTGAGGATTGGAGCAGCTGTGGCTGCCTCTCTGTCCCCCTCAAGCCTCCAGAGAGCTTGCCTATAAGAAGCATCATGCCAGCTGTCCAGCCCACCTCCCAAGGGCCTCCAGGCACCCAATGGGATGTGCTGCTGGGGGGGTAGGCAGAGGCCAGACTCTACCCCTCTAACACTCCCACCCCCCTTCCCCGGGAGAAGGCAGGACTCATAGCCACAGTGTTGTCCTGTGTCACGGAGAAGGGATGCAGGGTGAATCCCTACTTGCATGTGACCTCCAAGCTGCAGGGAGACATTCTGGGGGAGGTGTTGTGTCCCCAGTCACATGGCCAAGGGGGGCAGGGCAGGAACCTCTTGCCTAATCTGTGGTGGCTCCCCAGGTTGTACTGCTGGCTAGAAGGAGACCCCTGGCTCACACACCCAGGCTGCGAGGCACGCAAGCCAGGAGTGGGAGGTGAGGCCACAGAACATTTGGCACCTGGTGGGCATAGTAACTGTAAAAGCCCTCTCCCTTCTTCCTAGGAGGACAGAACTGTGGCTTGGCTGACCTGATTAAAAGAAACAGAAAAGGAGAGAAGGAGGGAAAAGGTGAGAAGGAGGGGAACAGAAGGCAAGGGGAGAGAGAGTGAGGGGGCAGGAGGCAGAAAAGGAGGAAGTGGAGGACGAGGGCGAAAGAGGGGAAGAGAGAAACGAAGAGGAGGAAGAGAAGAAAAATAAAAGAAGAAAGAAAAAGGGAAAATGGAGGGAAGGAGGCGAGAAAGAAAAGCAAAGGAAGAAAGGAAAAGAGAAAAGCAAGGCAAAGTGCGAGCGATTTGGTGCAGCACCTGGCCAGTGTTCCTGGTTAAGCGACGCGGGCTCCAGTCACTGGGACCTCTGGTGTTTCTGCAGGGTCGGGGAGGCTCCCCGTGGCGCCAACTCGCGGCTTTGGGAGGGCAGTGACCTGGACGCCACGGTGGCTGTCGGCGGAGGAGGTGGCCCAGGTTGGCACCCTGGCCGGGTGAGCGAGCGCTGGAGCCAGACGGCTTCTAGCACCTGCCGCGGGCCGTCAGAGTTGGGTGGCACCAGGTGACCCCGTGGAGGGAACCATGCCGTGCCCTTACTCTTCCCGAGGACCCAGGGAGACTCTGAGCCTGGACTGGGGTCCCCTGGCCGGTAGGCAGGCGGGAGCACTAGCAAAAGTCAACATCCGACCGCTCGAATATCGAATATGGCGCCCCGCGTGAGGGGCCCTCGGCTCCTACCACGCAGGGCATTTTCTAGAAGGGTCCCCGTGAGCCAGCTCCGGCGTCCCTGGCCCCGCTCGGCCTGCTGGGAGGGAGCTCCGCATGGAGGGTCTACCCTGGATCCTCCGCGCGGGCGTCGAGGTCTGCGCCCCGCAAATCCAGAGTTCCCACGCTGCGAGGTCCCACCGGACCAGGGCGCCCGGCGGCCAGCACGTCCTGGCCTAGAGTGTGGCCACTGCGGCGTCGCTGGTTCGCACGACTCGACTACGGGCCAGGGCCAAGGGTGGGAGTGAAGTGGAAGAGAGACCCGCATAGTGGGTCTCAGAGGATCTGAGCGGGGCCAGGGTGCCCGCGGTCTGCGCTAGGTCCAGGGGTTTGCCCCTAGTCCCAGGGTGGGGCAAGAACCCGGGACTCGCTGAGTCGCAAGAGCCAGGTATCTGCCTATCGACCTACCCATTTAAACTCACATTTCCAAAGAAAACCACGTTAAAATTTTTTTGAAAAAGTAAAAATAAAAAACCAACCTACAAAACAAAAACAAAGGAGCCAATTCCAAAGGAACAATTTGTAAATTAGTTGAAGAAAGGAAATATGAAGGAAAGAGAGAGCCGGATGTGTCTGAAGGCATTGTCACCCGGAAAGCTATTCAACTCCAGAGCTCAGACGGATTTGAAATACTTCGAAACAAAGTCCACATTGGCACCAAACAACGATGAGCGCTGACTAGGCCGGCTTCTGGACGCACCTTTATGCGACCTAACGACTCGGTATCCCTCACGCCGGATACCGCCCACTGGCCCTTGGGAAGAGGATTTCGAAGTTTCCCTAAAGGAAAGCGTCACAAAGAGACCCATTTCAATAATGAGAAAGTTACTCGGCGGTCCCCGCGGGAGACGGCGATCTGTCAGCGCGGGTGACTGGATAATTTTATAACCCCGATATCTTCTTTTGAGGACAGGGCAGAATCGCTAGTCTTGGATACGGCACCGATGCGTGCCCGGGCTGGGTGAGGCCAGACTCTGCCACGCGCCAGCCACCTGCAGCCCCATTCCGCTTTGTACCAGGCCCGCCAGCCTGCCCCGTGTGGGAATGGCTGGGGGGCAACCAACAAAGACGGCTTAGAGAAAGCAGAGAGCCAGGGGAAGAAGCGAGCTTATTGCGGGCGCTGGCGGACGCTGCAAACGCGTCTTGGGGAGGAGGCCGAGTGCCGACGCACCGAGAGGTGCTTCAGGGTGAGCACAGGGGTCGGAGAGGCCGAGGCCAGGGGCGGCCCAGGCGGGGCTGGCCCCCTCGGGTCTCGGTTTCCCCATCTGTCAAGTGGGGGAGGGTGTCGCACCTCTCCCAGCTGTCTGCTCCAGCGATTCTGGCCGGAGGTGAGCTAACATTCTGTAGAATCCTCCTCTTTCTTCCCTGCCCCCAACTTCGTTTAACCGCGTAAGATACAAATCCCAGGAGGCCGCTATCTTTTAAAAATCGTGGACAACTGCGAAAGGAGATGCAAGAAACGGACCGAGGCCGACTAGAACTCCAAGAAATGCCAAAACGCCCAGACTCAGCCCTCTGACGTTAAGCAAAGTTTACCCATTTCAGGAGCTCAGCTTCCCCATCTGTGCAATGGTTCAGAGACCCCTTCCGCCAGTAGCAGCTCCAGAAATTCTATCTAGGAGGCACTTAAGGGAGGGAGGAAGTTTGGGTTGGAGGAGGGAGTAGGGAGATCTGGAACCTACGTTTTCCTAACTCACACTGTGCTGAAGTGTTTTCGGTTACGGAAGTAGAGGTAACCCCTCACCCCACCCAGCAGCCACCCACCCTCGCGCAACCGCTTCTACCTTGGCCAGTGAAGTCCGAGCCGCAGAGCAATGGTGGGGAAGGGGTTTGTTCCGCTCACCGTAGCCCCCTTCCACCCCCCCACCATCACCACCGCATCCTGGGGTCGGGACGGCGCCAAGAAACCCGCCACTGCCGCCGGGAGCCCTTCACCCGCACCGCCGCAGAGGGGAGGGCAGCTGGGCCTCGGGCGTTGATGTCACCTTTTCCACCCGCCGCGAGCGGATTGTTTCCGGGATTTTCGAAGCGCCGACTGAGAAGGCCCTGGCCCGGTCCCAGGCGTCAGGCCCGGCGGCTGCGCCCCTGGGGTAGGGGCTTGGGGCTCTACAGTCGCGGGAAGGCCAGAGGCCCAAGGGACTTGGGCTCCAGCCTTAGCTCCTCCGCTGCCGCGTTGGCTTCTCTTTTCTGGGCCTCGGTGTCCCCGACGGGAAAAGGAGAGACCCTGCTCACTGTAAACACCATTCTGGCCTCCAAGGCTGCAATTCCTGAGAGAGGAGGACCCGGTCGCTGTTTGTGTGTTTTTCGCCTGAAAGGGGTTTATCTGCCAGTTTACTTTGGAGTTGGGCGGCGAGGAGACAGTGTCCTCAGGGAAGCCGACACCGGGTAGGGGTGGGGCAGAGGCCGACCCTCTGAGGAGGAGGGACTTGGGGGCGGGACAGGGTTGGGAGCCTGGATCTCCCCTTCACTCCCCTCCAGCCACAGCCTCGGAACGCGCTCCCGCCACGCAGGGCATTTCCCAGAGAGCCCTCAGCGCCTCGCTCCTGCCCCGCCCCAGGAGCTTGAGACGGTACGCCAGGGAAATAACTCTGGCAGCTGTCCAAGGAACTGGCCGGAGTCCGCACTCTGCAACCTCAACATCTGTGAAATAGGGTGGAGGCTGGACTACACCAATCTTCTGATTCCCCCAAATCTAGAAGTGAGGCCTCCAATCCTGAAAACGACTGCCTCCCCCAGCCTGATCAGGGAGCTACCCTAGGAGACTGAGTGGGGGTAAAGTGGGTTTGTGATGGTGGTTATAGAAGCTGAGGCTCACCGGGCCCTGCCTGAGGCCAGGTAGGGAGTGAACAGGGAGGCAGAGAAGGGGAGGGGGGTGAGAGAGGAGGCCAGGAAGAAGGGCCTGATAGGTGTAGGGAGCAACTGAAAAATGGGATCCAACCTTACTCACCTTGGTCCGTGGACCAGTTCCTTCCTCTAGCTGGGCCTCAGTTTCCCCATCAGTTGGACTAGGTGATGCCCAAGCACCCATCCAGGCAGGGGCCCTTTTGAGCCTAAGAGTGGGGAGGGGCCCCAGCTGATCTGCCCAGGTCTCCAGGAGACACTTGATTGTCTCCATTTGCTCAGTGGGAGGATGGGGTGCCTGCTGGGCCAACAGGGATGGGCATAGCCCCTTTATCTCTCCGTTTCTAACTAAGGGCCTCCTCAGGGTGGATTAATATCATGTTTGTGGGCCCTGCACCCCCTTCTGAAGATCCATTTGATTCAGAATCACCCACCTGAGGAGTCTGAAGCAACTGCAGATCACCAAGGCCATCTTCTTTCAATCCTGATGACATCTCTGAGATTCAGAAAGGGGCAACCTCTAGCTGAAGCCACACAACACAGTGGGGCCTGGGCGAGAGGAGCTCTAAGGGTCTCAGTCTGGCCAAAGCCTCTGGTAAGACATTTCCTTTTCAAGGGTGCTCTATGTCCTCCATCCCAGCCCCAATAGACAAAGAGTCTCAGCCATCTCCTAGTCCCCACAGGGTCCAGGGCAGGTGTCAGGGGCCTAGGGCCAGCCTCAAGTCCTCACTGCCAGCAGTTGGAGCTAGAGAAACTCTATCAGCTTGGGAGGGCCAGGGCAGTGGGTATGGTAAACCTTATTTCCCAGAGGTGAAGACTGAGGCCTCAGCAGTTCACATAGGGAAGCAGAATGGCCCAAGAACTGGTCTCCAGTTATGGACCAGGTACTGGCTAGCAGGGTGATAGGACTCTAAGTCTCTGGAAGGGAGGGGCAGGGCAAGTGTGCCTCCCCCAACCTACTTCAGACACTCATCCACTCCTGCTTTTACCCCATCCCTCCTTGCCTGGAAGCACCGGGTAACCCCTCCCACCCCCCCAAAAATACGCTTCAGGCTTCAGGTCCCCAGGTGCCTGACATCCTACCCAGTCCTCACAGCCTCCCTGGAACCAAGTGTCATCATCTCCTTGGACAGGCCAGGAGACTTCGGCCCAAGGAAGGGCAGGGCCAGAGATAAGAAACTAGGCATTCTTCACCGCAGGACTTGGGACTTATGTTCATGTAAAGATGGAGAGGTGGAAGAGCCAGAGGCGGTGTTGGGACTTTGAAGCCCAGAGACTGAGCCAGGTCACAACGGGGTTCAGTCCTCAGATTCCCGGCACACCCTGTGGCCCTCTGCCCAGTTCCATCCGGTATTCACTTTCTCAGATGCTTGAGAAAGTTCGGGAAAGGTGAAGCTGCAGCCTTGCTTTCTCCTGGCATCAGTTTCTTCCTCTAACCAGGGGAACATAGCCCTACCCCCACAGTGTCCTGGGTTTTCCATGCAGGCGGGGGTATTCACGTATCACTTGGCAATTTAGGCAAACACAGATTGGAGAACATTTCCCTCTCAGGATTGCTCCGAGGTGGAATGAGGACGTGAGCGGTAAACCGAGGCCGGGGTGCACAGGTGCAGCTGCAGCTCTTTGAGGCAGCCTCCCTGCCACCAGCCCCCAGGTAGCTCCTTCGCCCTGGCCCGAAGGGCTGCACACCTCCCGGCCACCTCTTCCCTCAATGGCTGTGAGACCTCTGGCCTCCTTCTCCCGGCCCTCGGGGCTCCCTAACTCCCGACTAGGCCACTGGCTATCTGCTGTCCCCTCTCTTTACTGTCCTCTCCTTCATATCTGGCTCTACTGCCTGCCTCCGAGCCCGTCCCCTCTGGCCTGTAGCTGCCCGCGGTCTCTCTCTTGCCTTCTCTCTTTCGGTCTCTCTCCGTGTCTGTCTCGACGTCCCTGGGCACCCTCAGAATCCCTGCCTTGTCCCTCCTGGGGACCTCACTGTCTCCCTCTGGCCGTTTCTCTCACCTCGTTCTTGGTCCCTCTGTCTCCCATCTCTGCAGTCTCCCGAGCTCTTCGGGCCTCTCCCAGGCATCTGTTTGTCCGCACGCCCTCTCTATCTTATCGAGCGCTCTCACATCCCTCCTTCCTGGGCGAGCTTGCCTGCGCTCCACACGGCCTCTCTGGGGCTCTGT